AAAATGGCGCAAGCTCATTAACGACGATAAATCTTTTAAAGCAACAGCAAACATGAACAGCGACAACTGAATAAATACAACAAAAGTTTAAAACGACAAGAGAAGATGACTTCAACTGCATACTCGTTCCAATCACGTGATATGTTTTGGGTAATCTACTCTTCTGCGAAACTTTTTATGTCTTCTCTGACACTTGTAATAAAATAGAACATGCAAATCCTAAATGTAAATAAAATAAAAACCCCCATAATTTAATATGCGGTGACTTAGTAATGGCGATAAAATAATATTTTTATCGGCCCCGACTTAGACCAAAGGGCTAAATTAAAAAGTCGATAAATTTTTAATGTAATACATGACAATAAAACCATTAAAGGTTTCTATATGTCACGCTAATAATTTGTTCATATTAAATTTATCCATCGACAAGAATGCCTTAAAATATGAGTCGCATGTTTGTTTTTCTTGAAGTTGAAGTCGAGTCGATATTAAATTTTCATACTTTGAACTTATCCATTGTTGTTCTAATCTCATGATTAGCCTGAAACTATTTTGAAATCATTGATGGACACTTGTCAAGTTAGAAAACCATTGGTGGACACTTGTCAAGATGAGAAATCATTAGTAGACACTTGTTAAGATGAGAAACCATTAATAGACACTTAGAATAATGAGAAATTATCTTGATGGAATCAATGGCTAAGATTTAGCCAAAATAGTTTATGATTCAAGGGTAGATATTAGATATAGAAACAATGGCAAGGATCTACCCACTTGTGTTTTGATCCAAGGGCTAGAATGTAAGATGACATACTATAAATAGGTGCTGGATTTAGAGTTTATTCCATCTTTCATATGGGAAAGAGCTAGAAAGAGAAAGTTAGAGAGAAAGAGATGTAGGAAGAAGAAAGAAGGAAGCTTTTTTAAATTTTGAGGACAAACTATCACAGAAAGCAAGTTGTAAAATACTATATAAGTAGACCTTCCACTGCATCAATTGAACAGTAGTATGCTTTTAATGAATGTTTCTAATTTATATATGTTATTGTTAGAATACTTTCATGAGATTGAAATTTAAAAAGTGTTTTCAGAGTATGATATGAATCTTGTGTTTATTATGAACTGATTAAAGTATGATAAAGCAAAGGTTCAAATCCTTGAGGAATAAGAGATTCCAAGATAGGGGCCATATGAAAGAGGTTCTAATAACATAAGATGAATGTTATAGAAAAGGACTCTAAATGTTAAAGAAATGTATTTTTAAAGTGGAAATTATTATATGGTTTACTTACTGAGTTTGAGCTCATATAGTTCTCGTGATATAAGTAAGTGCTAAAATAGAAGTTCCAATTGATTGAGTAAGAACGGTTCAAAATCTCATGATAAGTTAAGAGGTCTTAAGATATGAAATTTATAATTTTAAGATTCTGCTAAAGAATTATATTTCTATATTAAGCATTAAGTTAATGTTTCTTTTGAACTGGTGCAATTTTTAGCAGCTGGCTCGGGAAGAGCGTTAAACCCCTTCCACTACCAGGACCCCTTCCACTACCAGGACAGGTTCATTAAATCCCTTTACGTATCATTCATGTTAAGAGCGTTACACCCCTTCCACTACCAGGACCCCTTCCACTACCAGGACAGGTTCATTAAATCCCTTTACGTATCATTCATGTTGAACTCGTGGTAGAGGACAAAGCATACACGTGTCCCACATTGAAAATAAATAACCAATTTTCACTCTTGTTTGCTTTATAAATAAAAGACTGACCAACAAAATTTTAAGTTATTCTAATTTCATTGGAAATGAGTTGTTGTCAAAGTGGATTAAAAGAATTTTTACTGGATCATTTTTCAAGATTTGTTCCAAATCATCTGATTTTTTAAAAAGTCGATAATAATAATTATCGCGCCAATGAAAATTGAGGTCAGATCAAGTAAATTGTGAATCAATATTTGTTTTGGTTGGTTTGATACCATATAAGAAATAAAAGCTAAAAGAAATTTGTCAAGAAGTTCAAGGTCAGATGTGATCGATGTTGTTCGTTGCTTTGATACCATGTATGAAATAGAAGCTAAAAGGAATTTTGTGAAGAAAGAAAGAGATGAAAAGAAAGAACTCATTTCTAAAAAAAGATAATTATCTCATTAATCATAACTTCTGTACAAGTTGAATTAGGTTAATAAGAGTCACAAGTTTATCTTTCTAGCTTAGTAATTACAAGATTCTAGTAGCTAATCGAACTAACTTGTAACTAACTCGTTATTCATAACAGCTCCTCTCAAACTTAGAGTTGTAAAGTCTCCGACTTTGAGATTGTTACGCATAATCCCAAACTTAGAACTAGAGCAAGCTTTTGAAAAAATATCCGCAACCTAGTCTATTGAAGGCGCATGCCTTACTTCTGTCTTTTTGTATAAAACTTTTTCTCTTTCAAAATACAGATATATCTCTTATATGTTTTGGTCTGGCATATAAAATTGGATTTGTTGCAATAACGACAATATTAAGGTTGTCACACCACACTACTGAAGTTGTACTAGGCTCAACTTAGTAAGGATTGAATCTAAGTCATTTCTGCTACCAAGCTTGCTAGGCTCTGATATTCAGCTTCTGCGGAAGATTTGGAGATTGTATGTGGCTTCTTCGATTGCCAAGCTATTAGATTCTTACCAAGGTAGACATAGTGCCTTGAAGTTAACCTTCAATCCTCAATATTAGATGCCCAATCAGCATCACAAAACCCCACGAAGTAAAGCTCAGTTTCTGGACCTCTCCTAAGGTGTAATCCATGACGCGAAGCCTTTGCCAGATACTTTAGTATCCTCTTCACAGCCTTCCAATGAGCTCAAAGTGGCGATTGCATAAACTGGCGTACTTGATTCACACTAAAAGCTAGTTTTGCCCTTGCGACAGTAACGTACTGCACTGCAGAGCACATACGACACTCCTATAAAGTTGCACATCTTCAATAGGATCACTTCCATAAGAGACCAAATTTTCACCTTTAGTCATAGGGGCTGAAACAGACTTGGCAAACTGCATCTTAGTTTCAAGTAGTAAATTAGTCACATTTTTGGTGGACAGATGAAACCCTTCTTGTGTCTGCTTCACTTATATGCCTAGAAAATAATCCAGGTTCTCCAAGGTCCTTAAGAGCAAAAGTGCGATGCGATTGTATGATCAATCATTGCACTTCTGCTGAATTATTTCCGGTCACCAAGATGTCATCAACAAACACCAACACAAAAACTGACATTTCCACTCTCCTTAAATGAATAAAGATCGATATGTTTTTCTTCAGAATAAAAACCAAGCTGGACAAGAGCCTGATAGATCTAATCAAACCAAGGTCATGAAGCTTGAAGACCTTGTACTTATTCTCTGGTGAAAACCTTTGCCGGCAACGTGGCCTTGTACTTATTCACTGTCCCATCAGGATTTTCCTTAACCATTTGCATCCATTGGCCTTTCTTCCGGCAAGTAACTCAACCAAGCTCCAAGTATTTGCTTCTGAACAAAGCTAGATACACATCTGTCATAGACTGTTTCCACTTATCCTGCTGCAAAGCATCTGCCACAGAAGTTGGTTCAGTGACTACAACAAACACTTTATTCCATGTCTTAAGTTTCTTATGCCACCCAATTTCCCCATGTAAATCACCGATTGACCAGAGTTCTACCTTTTCAATAAAATTTTGTAAACTTGGCAGTCAGTATTAGTGTCCAGATTAATCACATTGAATGGTTTTTAATTAGTGACCAGAGAATCTAATCAAATAGAGGGTCATTGTTTTGAACTACCTAATCACGAGTGGATGAAAAAGACAGTTAGCACTGAGTATTTAGTTGAGGTGAAATCTGAGAACTTCTTGCTTGTGCAGGGTAATAACTAAACCTCAAGTGATAATCCCCTCTAAACGTCAAGTGATAATCCCCTCCCTCCCTTAAGGTCCACCTAAGTGTTATGTTTTAGCATCTTTTAAATGTACAAAGTTTGCTTGTGCAGGGTAATAACTAAACCTCAAGTGATAATCCCCTCTAAACCTCAAGTGATAATCCCCTCCCTCCCTTAAGGTCCACCTAAGTGATATGTTTTAGCATCTTTTAAATGTACAAAACTTCGTTAAGTGGCCTCCACTTTAAAATGATGAAATTAGCTAGATGTGTTTTCTGTTCATGGCTTAAAAGTATTTTATCTTTCTTGAATTTAAGTATGCATATGTTGATCCAGCGAATGTTTTGAAGATTCGTTCTTGTTGGGTTTTTAGGTTTTCACTTTTCATCTCATCTAGCTATATATAGTACTTTTCCATACAGTTCAAGCTCTCAAATATCGTTCTACCAGAAAAAGTTATCAAACATGATTACATAGTAGAAAATCTAAATCCTTTCTTATCCGTCATGTTTATATCGGAAGGTTTCTCTTTGATCAAATGCTTGTTGCTTTGTCTCTTCTTCTTATGTTTAAAGGTTGAGAAGCTTTTTTAATTTTTTAATTTTTTATTTGTTTTAATTAATTAAGAATTAAAATAATCTAACAAACATAAAAGAGTTAAAAGCTCTTTTGTATGAGGCTACCATGTGACATCTCCTCCACTTACCTTCTTTTTTTCCTCTTTTTTTTTTTTTTTTTTACTTTTTGATCTTTTTTTTTTTTTTTTGTGAATGTTTTATAACATTTTAAATTTTTGTGCGCTTTTAAAAATATATATTTTTCCACTTTACTCCTATGAAAGTAATTTTTTCACGTGTTCTTATTTCATTTTTTGTCAATTATTAGAATAATTTTCTTCAAATATATCCGTACTTAATTTTTTTCGTCAATTGTTATCTTTACACATATATTTCTTTTTACAATAGATTCAAAAATTCTTAAATGGTTGTATAAATGAATTTCTTATTATTCAGTAAATAATAAACTCTCTAAGTATCTCTAACACGACAATACGGAGCACGATACAAAACTAGTATCTAGAAAAAGTTAGATGGATGGCCGAACTTTTTATGAGTTTTACAATGGTCAATCACTTATACCATTAGTTTATCAGTAATAAGCTATTTCCGTAAAGAAAATTGACTCCTGTAACATAAACTACCAAGAATGTACAGTAATTACCTGAGATTTCTATAAAACTCTTTAATTCTAGTCAGTGCCAAGTTCTGAAACTTCATCGAAATCCATTCATAAGCCAACTATATCCGTGTCCAACTTTTGTACAAGCTAACCTAGTAGTAGACTTGTCTGATTAACTATAACTTGTGTTTTCATGACAAAGTGCCAAGTTCTTTTTCTTTACTTCTGGTTTTGGTTACAATTAAATGGTGTCACTAATAAGCTTTTCCAACTAATAGAAAAAGTGAGCATTGCCTTTACTCCGGATATGAATGCTTGTTCTTCGCCAAATACTCAAACAAACTTCCATCAAAAACTCGTCGGATGGCTTCTTTAGACACAAAACCTTGTCGGTCCCTTGCGACAACATACACAAGTCCCCATTCCAGCTTCGCCGCAAACCTGCAATTAGCCACAATCAAATTTAGAACAGGCTAGGTATATGGAAAAGGAAAAGGGAAAAAAAATAATAAATAAATCAAGGAAGATTCAGGAGACAGAAAAATGTACCAGCCAAAGAAATCGAATGGAACACGATTTCCCTCCGTCATTTTCCAGAGCTCTTTGAGAGTGAACTTGTCAGGCACTGATTGAGCATACTTGCTGAACATGTTTTCGAAATTTACCGGCATGAACCTGGATTTATTCCATTGAATAAGGTCATATAAGAATGTTAGAACTTAAAGCAATTATTAAACATAACAAAGAAATATGTATGATCTGATTGAATAAACAATTTTTGAATAAAAAGAAAAAAATATGTAATTTGATCACTTCTCATTTCCTACAAATCGGCTGATCATGTAAATTTTTTTGAGAAAAGAATTATGCAAGGGGTTATTTTGTTTTTCCTGCAGGCATATTGATACTTTACTTTAAAATTTCAGGAGTCTTTCCTTCAAAAGGTAATTGGATATTTCAGAAGCATCTTAAGATTTTATTTATATTTATATATATTTTTTTTTTTTTTATCGGCTGATCATGTAAATTTTTTTGAGAAAAGAATTATGCAAGGGGTTATTTTGTTTTTCCTGCAGGCATATTGATACTTTACTTTAAAATTTCAGGAGTCTTTCCTTCAAAAGGTAATTGGATATTTCAGCATCTTAAGATTTTATTTATATTTATTTATTTATTATTTTTTTTTTGATGGAGGGCTGAAGATAAGAAATGAGAAAAACTGTAAAAGAAACTTGGCAAACAACTATAGTCTGGCTGAAAAATGAGAAAGTAAACAAACTTTGGAAACGAAAAGAAAACAGTAAAAGGACAATAAAGTATATAGACGAAAATATAACAAACGTTCTTAGTCCTTTAGCACAATATTGCAGTTGATCTGTGTTCTACTTTGACTTAAAATAACGTACCTTCCCTCTGTGTCGTATGTTCCAGAATCACTACCGTGCTTGGCTTTATGAATATTGCTGATGTATATCGGAAATAATGGAGAAGGGATCCATCCCTGAAATTTAACATAATAACCGAATTAAATATATACGAACTCAAATTTCTGCACTGCCTTCGACTTTTCCAACTAATAGAAAAAGTGAGCATTGCCTTTACTCCGGATATGAATGCTTGTTCTTCGCCAAATACTCAAACAAACTTCCATCAAAAACTCGTCGGATGGCTTCTTTAGACACAAAACCTTGTCGGTCCCTTGCGACAACATACACAAGTCCCCATTCCAGCTTCGCCGCAAACCTGCAATTAGCCACAATCAAATTTAGAACAGGCTAGGTATATGGAAAAGGAAAAGGGAAAAAAAATAATAAATAAATCAAGGAAGATTCAGGAGACAGAAAAATGTACCAGCCAAAGAAATCGAATGGAACACGATTTCCCTCCGTCATTTTCCAGAGCTCTTTGAGAGTGAACTTGTCAGGCACTGATTGAGCATACTTGCTGAACATGTTTTCGAAATTTACCGGCATGAACCTGGATTTATTCCATTGAATAAGGTCATATAAGAATGTTAGAACTTAAAGCAATTATTAAACATAACAAAGAAATATGTATGATCTGATTGAATAAACAATTTTTGAATAAAAAGAAAAAAATATGTAATTTGATCACTTCTCATTTCCTACAAATCGGCTGATCATGTAAATTTTTTGAGAAAAGAATTATGCAAGGGGTTATTTTGTTTTTCCTGCAGGCATATTGATACTTTACTTTAAAATTTCAGGAGTCTTTCCTTCAAAAGGTAATTGGATATTTCAGCATCTTAAGATTTTATTTATATTTATTTATTTATTTTTTTTTTGATGGAGGGCTGAAGATAAGAAATGAGAAAAACTGTAAAAGAAACTTGGCAAACAACTATAGTCTGGCTGAAAAATGAGAAAGTAAACAAACTTTGGAAACGAAAAGAAAACAGTAAAAGGACAATAAAGTATATAGACGAAAATATAACAAACGTTCTTAGTCCTTTAGCACAATATTGCAGTTGATCTGTGTTCTACTTTGACTTAAAATAACGTACCTTCCCTCTGTGTCGTATGTTCCAGAATCACTACCGTGCTTGGCTTTATGAATATTGCTGATGTATATCGGAAATAATGGAGAAGGGATCCATCCCTGAAATTTAACATAATAACCGAATTAAATATATACGAACTCAAATTTCTGCACTGCCTTCGACAATAACCATCTATACAGAGGCAAATAGGGAAGGAAGCATATAAAACAATGTAATGATTCTCACCAGATGCATGAAAAGAAAATAATAGGGAAAAAAAAAGTATGATGGCTATATACTTATTCTTGTACCTAATAAATAGATTATTCTCAAGAAACCATCTTGTTTAGGCCATCTAATTACTCAAACATGTTTTACTGCAGAGTAGACGTAAAAGCACATCTTAGGGCCGTTTGGGAAATGTATTTAAACCCATGATTTTGATTCTACTAAATGTTTTCCTTCACAGAATTTGAATTCAAAAATTTCCCACCATTAGTTCTCTCACAAAGTTCCCACTAATGAATTAGAATCACTGACTTGAATGCGTGAACCAAATGGGCCCTTAATATTTTTAACACGCTATACTAGAGTTTAATGTTCTGAATTCTTTTATATCTAATGCAAGTTGAATGAAAACAATGGCATGTACAAGTGACACACCCTCAATAGGATGTTGAGAACAGGCACATAGTCTTTTGATAAACAAATGGCAATACCAGAGGATTTAATAAATAACATTAACTTACAGGCAGAGTTAAGAAACTGAGTCCCACATTTATAATGATGGCCAGAATAAAGGAGAAAATTACATTGACACCAATGGCACGCATTCCTGATTGAAGAAGAGGCGAAGAAAGAGATGAGAAGTTACTAAGTATAAAAGAAAGATTGAACTATGCTGCTTATTTGATACCACATTAGATAAATCTATACTAAGAAATATTAAGCTAAGTTGGTAAAAGCTTATGATCTTACCAGTGTAAGTTTCCCAAGGATAGACAATTCCGTTATTGTCTTGGTCGAAAAATGCCACATGCTGCTGAAGAACACTCAGGTTGTTATGCTCATGTCCTGGAGTTCCATTTGGATTATCTGTATCAGGAGCTACCAATGCTCTTGCCAAATCTGACACAAGCATATATACATATTAGCAAACAACACAAACAGAAAAATAGTACCTTACTTTTCCAATCAGCAATATTATAGTGCAAAGCTACGTTTTAAGTAGTAGCACACAAACGCTTAGAGAGACTCCCGGTTTTCTGATACTCTCCAGTGAAGTTATAGCTTAACTTGTGTACACACTTGTAATAACAATATCTCATTGTATAATCCCCTTTACTTTATTTTCTAACACCAACAGATGGATCCAAATCTTACTTGGTAAAGAAGGATTATGCAGGTGAACTTTAGCAAAAGCTCTAGAAAAGGAAATGATAGTGTCACAATTTAAATGAAAAGAACATTGTGCAAGTTTGATGTGCGTATCATGTTAAAACTTTCATTGAAAATGAGATGATGTCAGAATTTGACTGGCATGTATCTTTCCAAAAATAAGCAAATGATGATTGCTTAAGTAATGACATGTTACTTTTAATAAAAGAACAAAAAATAAAATAAAAACAAGAAAGTAATGTCGCGTGTCATTCTGGGATCTACACCTTTTTCCTTTTTTTTGTTTTTGTTTTTGTTTTAATACAACACGGGATACAGCCCGCAACCTCTCCCCAAACTCCATCCCACTCAAACACTCAAACCCCCTTACCAGTAGACCAAGTGGTCTTAGGCATTCTGAGATCTACATTTTTTGAGAAACAGTGTTGTTGTATTAAGTGAGTTTCAAAATGACTCAAATCTTCCAAGATTCCTTTCAAAACTTCCATTTCGGATCACCAGATTTCCATAATCCCTTCTCACGGTACTTTTCACAATCTCTTTCAAAAAAAAAAAACAGAGAGAGAAGAAGTACTTTTCACAAACAATGTATCAACAACTGTTAGTTTACCTTTTTATTAACAACACTTTCTTGTCGACAACAAGCCATAAAATTACAGATCCATTTCAATTTCAACAAAGGACACATATCTCGCGAAAGAAAAAGAGAAAAACATCAGAAAAAAAAAAAAAAGCACTTACATGGCTTGGGAAGCAAAGTTTCCAGATCTTTCCGAACCTTTTTCTCCGAAGTTACAGGCGCAAAACGAACTTCTGTTGCCAGTGATTCATTTCCATTAATCGTCGCGGCCATTTTCTTTTCTATCGATCTTTTCTTCTCCTTTTCCTTCTATTCTCGCCAACTCCAAAGAATATTTCTGTCTCTCTCTTCAAGGAAAAAAAAAAAGAATTTTTTCTCTCTCGATAGAATCGTATGTGTGTATATATAGGGAGATTGATGCGTGGGAATAAATTTGTCAGTGTTTTTTATTATTATTCGGGTAATTAACACGAATGATTTTCAAATTTGTAAAAAATTGACACTTTAGTTCTCAATTTCTTTTTAATTAAATGTGTCTTAAATTATTTAAAAATGTGTAATATCCTTTAAAAATAAGGATTAAAATCTAATCTATTAAAGTTGATTAGGATTAAAAAATTACCTCGTAAAAAACTATAATATCATATTTTTAGGTTATTATATCGTTATTTTTTATACGATATCTGACGGAAATGATTACATTATACTTTTTTAAATGGTTTGAGATTCGTTTCGTTAAAAAAAATTTAGAGATCAAATTATCACCTTTTAAAGAGTTTAGAAACTATTCGTGCAATTTACCCTTATTATTCAGAGTCCGTTGAGTTCGTTGATTCGAGTTTTTAATTCGAGTTAAGATGTGATTTTATGTGAGAGCTTTTTACTGTAGTAAAAAAATTAGATGTGACTGTTTCTGAAAACTTTTTACTGTAGTAAAACTCAAATTCTAAACTCAAATAAGTAAAATGAACGGGACCTCAATTTTATCATTTGCTTAAAAGGCAATTATTAGACGCTAATTCACGAACCATCAATTTCTTCCGATTAACATCAGCCAATCATATGGTTGTATATTTTTCTGAGTGAATTCCAAAAATGACAATACAACTTGCGTAACACATAGGACGAGTTTTTAATAATTGTATTTTCTAATTAAATATAAAAATTAATGATGTGCGGTGATTATTATATATTTATTTATTAATTATCTAATTTATTTTATATATATATTAGATAACAATGTTAAGAAAAGGATAAGTCTATTGATATATATATATTTTTTTACTTTTTACACACTTATTTTTAATATTATTAAAATATTCATTAATAAAATTACTCTCAAAGACAATTTTTTTTTTTTAAATGCTCATTACACACCTTATCATTAATATATATATATATATATGTTGCCTTTTAAAAGAAAATTTTGGGCCTCTTATAATCTGAACATAATATGTGTGTATCATCCGTAAGTCCTCTAACACTATGCAGATATCAAACAGAGGGTCTTCATTTTTAGAAAACTAAAACCTAAAAAGAAAAAAGATGAAGAAAGACAAATAATTCAAAACGAAGTTTCAACTCAAAGCCAGGGAGAAAAATATATATGGATAAAGAAACCATATGAAGTGTATAATTAAAAAAATGACACAACAAAAACACCTTTTTTATCCATTCCGATCATCAAAACTGGTTTTTTAAGCTTGGTTGAATGTTTTCTGGTCTTGAAGAACAAAATTGACATAAAAGAAAGAAAACGATAAGTTTGATTGGTGGGTGGATGAAAAAAAATGATTTTTTAAAAATATTTAAAATGGGTGTAACAATATGTGAAATAGGGTAATTTAAGAATGTTTGTGTAAAAGGTAGAATGGTAGGTAATTTAGTTGTGGGAGCTTTTTTAAAATTTTAAAAGAAGTGTAATAAGTAGAATATGAGATGGTTTAAGTATGTGTGT